GAGGTCACTATTGCTTCCTAAGACATCAAAGAAAAAAAGCAAATGTCAGTATGGGAAATCACTACTAAAAATCAGGAAGCAAACTATCCTAATTTTGAACAGGTCAAAGACAGTTACAATCACTGTGTTTAAAGTCAGATTCAGAACCACAACGTTTCCTGCACTGAACTCCATTTCTCCTCCTCTCCCCCCAATATATGTCCATTACTGCAGAAAACATGCAAGATCACTAAAGGGATTATTTTTTCATCTTGCTTATCCTTATTAATTTTTCAAGTTATTGACTATGACTATTTCTCCTACCATATGTTTTCCATTCTGTGGACAGCAATCACTACTACTACAACCACCTAAATTACTGCAAGAAAATATGCACAGAAAAAACATACTTTTAAAACTACAAAATAATTGCCCATGCTATGTTGGAGTATACACAGTGACCAGAATTTGTTGACATGTTTAGATGGTCTATGGGCATCTCCTGTAGGCTTCTGATGCAAGATTTCTTGATGAAAAGTGCAGTCATATTAACAGTTATGCAGGGTTTACAGTTGGAACCCACAGTGACACAAAAGAACAAACCATCATTAAGAAAACCTCTATGATTATGGAGTGGCTTTTTTTTTCTTGATAGTGTGGTTTGTGGTTTTTTTTCCTTCAGAGTTCAAAGAAGAGTCAATAGTTCTTCTGCAGCTAATGTCCTTACAATATGTATCTAAAGATACTCCAATCATCAAGTAATTATGTAGGCACTTCTTGCTGGTTAGGCTGGCTGCTTTTCTATAACAGATAATTTAGAACATTTATAAAAACATTTACATGTTGTGGATTTCCCTTACAGGAAACTTGAATTTGATTACTGTGAGAAAAATGAAGGTCTCCTCAAAGCAAAGAATTTATTATGTTTAACTACGCTCTCAAATATGCAGGATTCCCCTTAGTCTAGTACCTTTTCTCTGTGCCTGCTGAGGAAGGAATGGTAGTTTGCAGTCCTACTGCTTATGCAATATGAATAAACTAAATAAAATGTAAAGGTGCCTCTAAAAGCTCTCTGTGACTACCAGCAACTCTATGGTGCTAGGAAATTTCCACACAGACACATCAAATTTCCCATCAAGAACATAGCAAAGGCAGGACATAATTATACCTTGTCATTGATCCAGTCCAACACATCTTCACATTCCCTCAAGTATTGCACCAGCTTCTGTGCTTGCAACAATTTGACTCCCTTCTCCCTCATCTTTTCCAACAGCAGTTCCCATAGTCGGTGCAGCTCCTGCAGCCTAGTCTAGAACAATAGGATGTTGTCATTAAAATCTTGCATCAGAGAAAGTTAGATTTGTTCCCTTCCTGATCTTAACAGAAGATTTTTTTTTCTCCAAAGTTGTACTTCCTAAACATTACTTTAGATAAAGTGTAGAAAAACCTCAAAACAATTTCATCTCCAGTCATTAGTTTTTGTATTATGTCAAATGATGTAGCAACACAAAATCAGAAATACTGAAACACTTTTCATTAATAATGAAGTTATCAAATAGTTATGTAAACACAACTATGAGGTAAACATTTTCAGACAAAATTTTATTTAAATTCTATGCTAATGTGAAGTCAGACAATGTATTTGCTCCTCTTCCCTTCAATTGTTCAGTCTTTTACATGTAAGTCAATTCTCAATAAGGGAATCTTCTCTTCATTTTGGGATTTATTTTTATTTAAGACAACACATTTAGTTTAAAGTCAAACTTGTGCCACTTCATGGTATTTTAACCATTTCTCTTAGCACTAATCAGCCAATATTGTTAAGTAACATAATAGTGAAATACCAGGAGCAATTACCAGCTTTAATATTGAGTCTCTCTCTGGCTGCACTCTTTCAATAATAAATTTTAGAGACAATTAAAAGAAAAACTACACTCCCACACAGGCACACAGCTTGCAAAACAGGAAAGTATGTGCTCCACCCATCATCTATAATGCTTTGCTCATCAAGATCTGAAACTTGAAAGTCATGCTAGAGAAGCTTTTGAATGTCTAGCAGGGGTGGATACCCACTTAATCCCTCTAGAAAGTTCACTTAGGTAGGGTTGAAGGGAGGAAAGAGCTTATCCAACTCTCTTTCCTTGCACTATCCAAAAGTATAATGAAAATTGTCAACCAAGGAAGAAAGAAGACATTGCAAAGAAGAAGTTGCACTGCACAGCCAAAGGTTTCACCTACTCGTATGTGGCACCCAACTTGGGTGGCAGTTACTATGGGGCGCTGGGCAGTCCGGTACGGCGTGAAGGACTGAACCATTAAAAGGCAAATTATCACTCCAAACACAACACAATTAACAACTTACATCAAGCAGCAAAGACACAGTATTATTTAAGATAATTCAACTGCAAAGCATTGGGGTTTTTTTCTATTTCTGGTAAAGATTATACAATCACAATGAGATTTCTAAAATACTATATAATGTATAAAAACCCCCTACTTTTCTTAGTCACCATCTTTTCTTAGTTAAAATGAAAGATAAACATGAATATATCAGTTGTAGTAATCACTACAAAAATATTCAAAAGGATTCCCCTATTGAAAAGTTCTAACAGCTCACATCCAAGTTTTATAAAGGAAACAGCTCTAAACAATTCTAAGGAGACTTCTTTGCATTAAAGAAAAACGCAGTCATAGCCTGACACTGAAACAGCTGAGGCCCAGAAACAGCAGATTATATAAAATGAGTCCTAGGAAAGAAGCTGGTAAGCAGAACAAAAAGTGTTTATTGGTGGGGTATGCACATGTACGTGTGTGTGAGATTAAGAGAGAAAACAGTAACACAATCAGAAGATGATGAAAGTGCACAGGAGAAGGAGTAAAAGATAACTCTCAAGTCATTACTTAAACCTTACAGTTTGCTCAGACTTTTTAAAACATTGATCATCACTCAAATACTGTCAAATGTAAGTCTATCTAGCACAGCAGCAAAGATTTAAAAAAACCCACATTTGTCATTGCATTACCTGGGTTGGGAGATTTAGAGAGAAACACAAAAGCAGATCTCAGAAAAGGATATGAAGAAAGCTTAATGCTTGTTACTGAGGAAGCAGCTGCCCTAGGATATGTTCACTGCTGGATAAACAAAGCAGACAGAAAACTGCACTTGCAGCTCACAAAAAAAGGCATGGAATGCAAATTCAAAGAGATTCAAATGTTTGGTCAGTACAACTTCACCAGAAAGGAGAAGTCACTAGAGATCTGATCGGAGCCAGAGCACATAGAAATTACACATCTGAAGTATGTCTGGTATGGCTGCTTGTGTTACTTCTAGTTAGTATTGCAGAAAATTTAAATGCTATATATAAGCATAAAATGAGTGATCAGCACCCCTGACATCAGGCCTTGTGAATTTGCTGCTGCTTGATGAGGTGCCATTCTGAGAAGAACCACAAATATTATTGTTCATCAGTTGCCTTGTGACTTTCAACACATCTCTGAATTATTGATTTTACAGTCCAAGTTCCTGGGCTCCACTAGCAGACAGTTCACCCCAGAACTGGATACAAACCAAGATATGAGCTGGGTGCTCATGAAAAGCATCTGTAAGCTTTACAAATACAAATTCTCTTGAGATTTCACTAATCAAATACCTGTAGCATTTTGAAAACCGTTTTAGAATATAAAGTTATCCATGCAATCTGCACAAAGTGTTTAAGGAAAAGCCTGAAAGAGAGAAAAAAAGTTTTAAAACTCACTCTTATGGTTTCAGATGCAAAATGGCCTTCATTAATCATCTGATTTCCAGTCTCATCCAGTTTAACAATAGCCCCTGAATTGGCCTGCACCTCAGCTTCAAAGGCTTGGTGCTTCTGCAGCTTCCCCTGCAAGTAAAACATCAAAGAATGTCACTGAGATTTGATGCACAGCCCTTCTCCACACTTACCAGCATCAAGATTTTTAGTGTATTTTCTGCATATTCAGTACGAACAAACAAACAATAAAAGAGCACAGCCAAAATCCCAGCCACGCCATATGTTTCACCAGTGGATTCCAACATCCCAACTTCAGTTATTTCATTATTATGTTTGCTCTTGTACACCAGTGTGTTCAAACATCTAACAACCCATCAGCTAGTTCCACCCACACAAGTTTATTTTCTACACATATCTCCTTTTTTTTTCTGGAAACAAAGAGTTAATTCACATTTATTCACAAAGCTGAAGCATCCAAGAAATTCTAGGGTTAAATAAAGCTGGTTTTTACACCACATTGCACTGAGTAACTTTTCCTATGTTGATTCAGCATCTAATCCATTATTAGAAATATTCCATTTAAATCAGCACAGAAACCAGGCTTTTGAAGAACACTTTTCAAGGCTGTGGGTATTTGCATGTGTCCTTCACCACTCTCAGATCAAGTTACATTTATTTATGTGTTTGCTCTCTAGCCCCATTGACCGGGTACGCCCTAATATTAACAGCAGAAGAAACGTAAAATGGTAGCAGGACTTGCCTGTAAATTGCTTGGGTCTTTGTAATTTTCATCTGATGCAATTTGCAGTTTCTCTTGGATCCATTTTTCAAGCTCATCTGCATCACGCTGGAAAAATTGGAATCGATAGGAATCTTCAAGTTTCTGGCGCCTTAGAGAAGATAGTTCCTTGAACCTGTGGTAACGGTCCAGGACCTGCTGACGCCTTTCTTGGATATCTTCTGCTGTCTCCAACACTTTTACACCACTCGGATCCATTTTCTGAAAGCCCCAAAACATTTTGATTGTATTATAAAACTATGGCAGGGTAGGAAGAGATCCATGGAAGAAAAGCCTGCTTTTTGAAACTTGCATGTGGTTTACTTACAGTCTTACTGTGTGTGTGTGGGTATGTATATAAAATATTAAGAGACATAAATAAACAAAAGTGCACTTCTAGCAGAAAATAATGGGTAAATAATATTTACAAAGACATTTAACAACTACTTGTTTTAGAGCAATATGGCTGCAGTCATATAAAGGCCATGTGATCTCAAACTGTAGCATGCAATTGTTTGATGCAAGTGGTAAAAATGTCTTTCTGTGCACATATATATGTAGATATATAGACATGTTTCTTGTACAACATACAAAATCTAGAAACATTTTAGTTAAAGTACTCAATATGGATAAAATAAAGTAAGAATATTACTGTTCTTTAAAGAACAGCAAACTGGTCCACATAAATACTTGTATATACTTATCTATAAATATTATACACACATATATATACACACACAGACAGCTGTGTGTGTGACACATCTCTCAGTTCTCTTAGTTGAAAAAGTTACGAACCCACCCTGCCACTCCCTACAAGACCTTTCAAAAGTCAGTACAGAAGCTCATAGTACTTTAGTCAAGGAGCATTTAATGTAACTCAAGATTTTCTCTGACTGGTTCAACTGAAAATCCTTTGCTTTATATACTAAAATCTGTTATTGTAACCACAGAGCTGACTACTGTTCTGCTTTATCTCCTTTCTGTTACAATCGGATAACCTTTAATGCCCAGTTCCTAAGCTCACAAAAAGGAATTTGGTTTTTAAGAAGAGATCTATGCCTTAGAACAGAACTGTAACACAAATTTTAAAAGTAGCATCATTACTGTAATCAGAGTTTGGGTATTTGCTCACTTATTTGATAACTCACTCTGCATATCAAGAAGCTGTTGCAAACAACGACTGTGCCTGAGCAATTATGCAATTCATGTCTTAATGCAGAAGTGTTCACATGTATAGCTCATTTAAAGCTTGTATTAGAAATTCTGAAAGCATCAAGCTAAATGTACTTCCCATCAATCCTATTGAAGGTAGGGAAGAAACTCAGTCTACAACTTCATACTAAAAGACAGAGGCAACCATTTAAAATACATTGTTATATATTATATTGTTATTTAGTCATTAGTTAGTTGCATGCTTTAATTAGACACATATCTTGCATAATTGTATGACAAACTTCAGGTTGGAAAGTGATCTATATGGACATGTTTTCTGTTTGGTTTCCAAGCACTCATAAAAGGATCATCTGATAGAAAGGAACATATGGGGGCGAATTCACACATTCCTGAGCTCTCTTCCAACAGTCCCACCCTGCACCAGGACAGCCATTCCAGCAGCAGTTGTTACTCCTATGAACTCTGAGCCCCAACTGCATTGCGGCAGTTTAAGGAAGGAAGGAAAAATTCAGCTTTGCTTTCTCTTCCAGGCCTGGGCATTTCACTAATTAATGTCAAAATAGGGCAAGGAAAAAAAAAAACAACACAACCAACCAGTCTGTGTAGCCTGTCCTATACAAATGACGTCCAGGTTTCATCTGGCAGTGGCACCAAAGGCTCCACTTGATTAGTGCATCTGAGTATTAAAAGATCAAAATCCTCCACATAACTTGAGCTCAGTAACAGATCTGTTTCCCTGAGAAAGCAGCTGCTTCTCTCCAGCACTGCTTTCGTCCTGGAGAGCAAGTTATTGCTAAAAACTTCCCTTCCTGTGCTGATACAGTGTGTCTGATTCCAACAACACTTATTTTAGACTGAATTGTGTTCAGGAATAACAAAGTGTCAGTTAAGTCTGTTTCAAACAGCCTTTTTCCTCCCCAAGTTATTGCTAAAAACTTCCCTTCCTGTGCTGACACAGTGTCTGAATTCAAAAAACACTTCTTTTAAACTGAATTGTGTTCAGGAACAACAAAGTGGCAGTTAAGTTTAAATGCACTGCACAACTGTGCCCTGTCCTTCCACTTGTTCTGGTGATGAGCATTACTGGGGGAAAATGAAATCCTAGTTCATCTTCAGAACACTGTATATTCTTTTGCTGTCAACTTGAATCCTAGTATTAGAAATAACCTCTGCAGACCAAGTGAGTCTAAATCAGTCTGAATTATTAAAATATTTAAATTATTAGACTATTTAAATTATTTAACCTTTTAAAACAAACAAACAGGAGACCTCCTGTAATTTAGCTTAGTAGCTGGTTTGCCTCTCACCACACAAGCCATGCAATCTGGCTCATCTTTTTGCTGGAATTTGTTAAAAGAAAGGCTCCTTTTATAACTACAGTAAGTCCAGCTAGTCAATTGTAAAAGAAGTGCTTTGGTCTAGCAATAATAGACTGTTCTTTCCTGCAGCAGATCAGCTGACGTCAGCAAGTCTGTGCTCTGCCAGAGCACAATCAGCAGTCGCTGGGGAGCTCTGAACTCAAAAGTCATGGATGCTGCAGGATGGTGCAGTCTAACTCTGGTGTTTTCACACTCCAACTGCAGTATACCCCCAGAACATCAAGCAGTTCTCCAAGATGTTTCTAAACCTTCTTGGTTCAACTGCATTGTTCAAAAGCATCTAGGATACACCTCTGCATGCCATGCAAGAGAACTGCCATCAAGAAATTGCGCTCAATGGTTTTTATACCTTTTAATGCTTCAGGTTAAAAACGTGAAAAACAGCTGACACTGGGATGTGGGTGCCCAGGCAGAGCCCAGATAAGCGGCCCCGTCCCTGCTGCTGTGCAGAGAGACAACGTTCCCCAGGTCGCTGCTGCTGCTGCCTGATAAGGTCGGGCAGAGCGAACATTCCAGGCGGTGCCAGGAGCTGCAGCAGGGCCGGCCCTTTCCCAGGGCAGGACACAGCCCAGGCAGGCGTCACTGCAAAGATGTCCCCAAACCAGCAGGTCCTAACTGTCCCCAAAGCATTTGCCACTGCACTTTAATGCTGTAAGACTGAAGTTCAGAAAACCACTTTTCAGCTAATGTCTAACTAAAAAAAATAACCAGATACAGTTCTTTGCACCGCACCATTGTGGTGGCATTTAAGAAAGAAACAAAAACCAACCAACCAGGAAAAAAATTCATTTAAGACAAAAACACCCCCCAAAAGAAGTTATTACTCTCATCCTTCAAGCTAAAATGATTAGCCTTCCCCTTCCTGACACAAGTTATGCGTAAGGGTGCATTAAAATTTTCCTGGTAATATACAAGTGCAGATATTTATAGACACTGCAGTGCAACTACCATGATGTCAGCAACACCATTGAAGTTGGGGAAGCAGCAGCACCGAGGTGGGTTAAACAGGAATTACAGCAGTGCCACCCAGACAGACACAGAGCAGAGCTGTCAGCATTTCCCTTGTCAAAACATGCTTTCAGGGATTTAAAAACTTAAAGTTAATACACATCCAGTGCTATACAGAATATTTGAGTGCATTTAAAAAAAAACAACAAATACATGAAGCTTAAAGAATTTAAACTCCTTTGCCTGAAAAAGTAATCTGATAGATAAAGATCACTATCTTAAGATGTAACAAAATCATTACTTTCTCTTAAGATGCGGTAAAATAACTACTTTCTCTTAAGACAAGTCCCAATGTGCATTACCTTCCAACACAAACCATTCTATGATTCTATGAAATATTCAGCATACAGAACCACAGCAGTAGCCTGGAACAGGACTTCTTCCCCAGCCAAAACACTCCCTGCTTCCCAGCTACTCTCACAACAGCAGCTTGATGCTTTTTTTTTGGTGTTCATCACCACTCTGCATTGTGAGCCTTGTCAAAAGAATGTTTAACTGATATTGGCTACTCCCTCCTATGGGATGGAAAAGTATTGCTGATCTTTCTTCTCTAAGCAAAAAAATCTAAATGCTAATATTGGATGTAAAAATAACCTTCAAAAGGAAAGGACAAAGGAAGGAGAAAAAAAACCAAACAAACAACAGACACTTTTCCAGCTTTCATTTCACCTGTTCCTAACTTCCTCAAAATGCTAGGGAAGAAGTCTCACAGTTCTCAAACACAAAAACATCATGGCCTCTCAATTTAGTACTAAGTGAGTAGGTGCTAGTACTGTAGGTAAATAAAAAGATAATCCCTCTGGAAAGTATGCACAGCACTGGCTGCTGCTTCTGTGAAGGGAACTGCATGAACATATTGTGTTACAAAGAAGTAACTGAGGATGTCATATCATACAACCCATACGAGAGATTTACAACTCTATTGAGACAAAATTAATGCCCAGTGATTTGGTTTGTTATTAAAATTTAAGGGTGCAGCCAGAACCCCGTGTCCAAATACTCCTGGTTTCTGTTAAGGAAGGTCACCTACAGCCTCAAACCTCTACAAATTCCAAGCCAGAAAAACAAGTTAAGCGCTGCAGATGTCTCAAAGCTACTACTTACTGCTGCAGACTCATACAGATTAACTGCAGCACTGGTAAAAATAAAACAAGCCCCAAAATTTAAGAAGGCATTACAGGGACATAAGAAACGGTAGCATTAAAGAAAAAAAAGAAAGGTAAATTATGTTCAAATTAAAGCAGTCTGCAAAGCTAGTGATTTAGGCTGATTAGAGAGTTTGTGAACAGCCTTAACAATTCATTTCTGAAATATGGGCGATTAAAGACCTGTGCATTTTTAGGCATTTAGTCTTAAGATTTTATTCCATTATTCAAATAAGAGCAGTTGAATTGCCTATCTGAATACGATACCTTAAAGTACAAGGGTTTTTATCATCTTTCTGTTGTCTTTAACATCACCAGAGGCCTTTGATAAAACTACGCAGGGCTGGCAAGGACTGCACTCTGCTGAGACTCCTGAGAAAGCAAATTACCTTGACTGCACTGCAGAAATGCAGAGTTCCCAGGTAATGTGATACTGTATAATTAACCTCAACATTCCCATTTGTTATCTTCTCATTGTAATTTTAATTGTAGAATAAACATTTACATTACTGTAATTTCCAAATAAAATCCAGTTGCTTGTGTTACCCACTGAAGTCTAATCCACACAACCTATTTATTCTACCACCACTGCATCGAAAACGACACGGATGTATAGACGGTTACACCACAACACCACCAGGATTATGGAACAATAATTAAAGCCCAGTTCAAATGTATTATGTTCTACAATGTAAATTTTAGCATGGTTGGTTTTCAGATGCTGTAAGTAAAAAGATGCTGCCCAAGTACTTTTTAAAACAAAAATCCCTTAGAAAATTAATCCACAGCAAAACCAAACATAGCAAGCTGTATCAAATGTAAAATGTTCACACATCATGCATCACAGACAGAAATTAGGAAATTCAAAGTATTAAGGAAAGGCAGATCAAACTCCATACTGAAGTACAATTAATGCACCCATTGTATAGAACAAACTCTCAAACAAATGTTTTTTTGTGACAAACAGGTCATTGCAATAAAGGCAGGCAGGTATGTCGATGACATTTCATGCATTATGTAAAAATACCTGGACTTTGACTTTACGAAACGATGACAACATGATGGAGGAATGCAGAGTCTAAAAGGGAGGGGGAAATCAAGATAACATTCAACTATGACTAGCATAAGAATGTACCTTAATTATTTTTTTTGTAAATAAATATTTTGTCACAAATACACTTTTCATACTTTCCTTTTGGTCCTGGACACATACAACAACTTGGCACTATTGCAAGCAACAGACCTCTCCATGCAAAAAAAAATAAAGGTTAAAATATCAAAAGGAAAACTTAAAAAATTTAGTATGTATAACCTTTCCAGTTAGTGTAAAAAAAACGCTACCACAATCTGAAGGTCAAAACACAAAGTAAAGGAAACCATCTGGACTTAGCAAATGCCACTTCTTGTTACAGCGCAGTCGAGTGGAGTGGCTGAATTTAAAGACACAAACTCAGTAGTAAGGTTTTGAAGGTAAGTATCTATAAGGATTTTTACTTTCAATTACCACAGTAAAAAAAAAACAACAATCAACAGACTAACAGCAGCTGCAACAGAAGGTATTTTTTGAGATGGCTAATTATGCAGCTGTTAAGTGTATCTAACCCACTGAATTTCCAACGGAAGGTTGGAATACCTCCTCTCACCCTACCTTTTCCCCATCAGCATGCTGCCATCAGCTCCCAGACAACTGCAGGGATGTGCCTTTGTGCCTGCTGAAACTACTGCCTCTCTCTGTTGGCACTCGCACAGCTGAGGGCCTGGGCTGCAGCAGCCAGGAGGCAGCTTGCCACTGGCCACTCCATTGGATCCCCAGCTGGCTACAGGAGCACAATGCTGGAACACACTTGGCAATCTCCATCAACAGCATCTGCAAACTGCTCCACCCCGTTTTTCTGATGCCTACACTCCAGGGACAAATGGAAAAAACAAACTCCCACACTATACTAACATGCAGCAGAGAGAAAGGAGGAATTCATGTTGTTTCCTTTGATACAGGGGAAGCCATGAGTTCCCCCAAAAAGCAATGTATTTATGAAGAAAACAATTACAACCTCATAAATACATTAAGTAGACAAAAATAAGGCAGCAAAGATATTAAGCTATTTGCATTAAATTACTAAGGTTAGCTATACATGTCATAGCTGAGAAACAGGAATTTCACACCAAGAGGTACTACCCTGCCTCAAGAGATTTAAGGCTTCTTCTACCTTTCTGACATGCAGGAGAAAAAGACGTAAAAATACACTTAAAATACGCTTAAATGACATTCAACATTACTGGTAATGTAGCTACCTTTTTTCTATTATTAAAATATTTCTATTTCTATTAAAAAAGCCCAACCACAAACACGTTTGTTAATTTCATCAACCCCGAATCTCACAGAAGCCTAACGTCCAAATCCGATTTTAAAGTAAAATTTCTATTGCCATCCAACCAATAAGGATTTTATTTATTTATTTTTTTCCAACAGGAATGGAAACAAATTACTTCTTGTGAACAATAAAACCTGCTATCTTGGTCCAAGCATTTTCCACAGCTCAACAATTCCATTGCTACAGTTACAGATCCTGCACACAATGCAGCAGAAAACATCCCATTTTCCACCTTTTGTTCATTATTTTCTCTGCACGATTTATACGTACAGACAAAAAAAAGATTTTGTGGAAGAACTCGCTGCTACTTGCATTTAAATGCATATAAATCACAGTGGGATTTAATATTTGTTTTTTGAACAAATTCAAATCCCTGAGCAAGGCCTTTCAGTGAACAGTTACTGGAATCTTCTGGCACATCACTGAGAGCAAAATGCCAAATAAAATGGATCTTCTTTTTTTTTTTTTCCAGAAAGATACAGAACCATTTCAGGCTGAGGTTTTTATTTTCCTCCCCTAACATGTTCATTCGCCATCTCCAGAAAACTGCTCTTCAGAACCTATTTAAATATGTATGAAAAACTGCTCAACAGTCACGTACATTTTAGACTGGAACCCTCAGATGTTTTATGACAAAAAAGCTAATAAAAATCCTGCAGTCAACAAAAACCTGCAGAAAATAAATGCAGTGATAATTGCTTATGATATTCTTAAATATCAGGGCAAATAATTACCCTATTGGTACATATTTTTGACCTAGCAATGCAGATTTATACCACTGTAACCACATAAGGTGTATGTGGGCAACAAACTGAGAAATTAGTGTCATTACTTTGATTTATGCTTATTTTTAAAAAAAAGTCAATCAGGGGAGGAACAAATCCTGATTTTTTTTCCCTGAAGGAAACCATAGTGCTTGACCTATATATCAAAATGACACATGTATGAAAAGCCACATAGGTTGGAAGGATTTCTTTAACACGTCTTCCTGCTTGGCTGGACAACTCAGTCGTGCAAGGTATTCAGGTGTTTCAGAGACCCCCACCTCCCTGAGGACAGGGCTCTCCAGCCATCCCTGCACACCCAGCCCCTCCATCGCTCCCCTTTCTTCTCTCCTCACACACATTCTTTGCTGCGTCTCCTGACCTTGGACAGGGCTGAGCAGACAGAAACCACCGCTGTGCCGTGAATCCCCCCTCCCGAGGTACCGCACAGCGCCAGGTTCCCCGTTTCCCCCGCAGGATTTCTCCTCAGAGGGGGTTTTACCTCAGGGGCTTCACCGCAAACCTCAGCAGACAGGGGCGAAGGGACGGGCGGGAAAGGCGGGGGCCTCTCGCTGTCACTGTTATTTATTCGCCTGTTTATCCTCTCCCCAGGGCGCTGAATGAAATTCCTACG